AGATCATCGAAGCCTACCGGGAGCACGTCAAGGGCGAGAGCATCTCCCGCGTGCTCAGCCAGGCCATCACCGCCACCCACACCGTGCACGCCGTGCTGGGGACGGCTGAGTTCTTTGAGTTTGCCTTGAAGAACCCCTACGGCGTCCAGCACACTGTGACCATCGAGGTCGACCACCCCGAGCTCAGGTGGGGGCTGAAGTGGGGGTCTCCCTTATGTGTGTAGGGCGGTGGTGGGGTGGCACCAGCTCCCGACCAGTGCTCACCAGCATCTCTGCCGCTCGCTCCCTCAGCGTCATACTGGACCCGAGAGAGTGGCGCCACTTCAAGGAACTGACCAAGAGCGTTACACCAGTGGAGGAGGAGATGTTCCACCTCCGCGATGACCTCAGGCCTCAGGTCTACCTGCGCCCCAACGAGACTGTCCGCATCCCCTTCAAGTACCAGACCTTCTCTGCAGACCCCGCTGTTGTCGCGGCGCAGGTATGTGCAGACTCCCATTTTGAGCAGTTCCCAGTATGAAGCGTTTCCCTCAGCTCCGTGTGCCTACGTAGGGCAGGATGGTATGGCCATGGGGAGCGCTGTGCAGCCGTAGCCGTCCTGCATCCTCAGGCAACCTGCTCTCACACCCCGCAGGGGCCGGCTGGGCTGGGCACCGGTGCCGACAGGGTTCTTTAGGGGGGCCGAGCTGACAAAGCACATCCAGGTGAGGGAGCCGGGTGAAAACGCTGCTCGAGGGGCTGGGTGGGAGGAGAAGCATCGCTCTTGTAAAACTCCATCATCCCTCTCCCGCTGCGCCCCCCTCCCCGCGGGACAGGTCTCCTTCCAGGTGAGCGGGGGGAAGCCCATCGCGCTCCTGCGGGTGAAGGTGGAGCCGCAGCCCCACGTGGTGGACCAGACGTTCCGCTTCTACCACCCGGAGCTCACCTTCCTGAAGAAGACCATTCGGCTGCCCCCCTGGCACACCCTCCCCGGTGAGCCCGCGGCGTGCCCCGTGGGGCTCGAGCTCTTCCTCCTTAGTTCTTAGGGACCTTCCTGGAGGTGCAGCAGCACCCAGACAGCACATTTCTGTTTCCTCACCCTTTCGCACCCTTGGGCTCCTCGCTCATCTGCCTGCCTGCGTTAATTTTGTACTTAATTCCCTGCACCGGTGCGCCTGTGCAGTTTGCTCGTAGCCCAGCGTAAGGGTCTGTGGCTGCATGGGGTGCAGCGTCGCGAACACAGAGAAAATGCTGAATATGGTTTCATCTTGGTTCTCTCTCCTCCGCAGGCGCGCCGGTGGGGATGCTGGGGGGGGAGCCCGAGATGTTTGTTCGCTGCAGTGACCCTGACATCATTTGCGAAACCAAAAATATGGTACGGGTTATGCTTTGGCATCGGTCTGTCCTTTGTGTCCTTCTGCTGTGGGTTGTTTTTGTCGGCAGACGAATGACTTGCACCCACGGAGCATCCCCATTTATCAGCCCGTGTAGTCAAACGCTGGCGGTGATGCAGCCGGAATTGCCCTTTATTCCCAATTAAAAGGAGCCGCATTGTTTTTGCGGTTGAAGCTGAATGTTGCACCTTATCGCATCGTGCAGCAGCCTGTACTCGCTTGTTCTTTTGAGCAAACACCAGATGATTAAGACGCTGGGGAAAAGCAGCCTTTTGTCGGGCGTGGGATAGACCTTCCCCGCTGCTCGCGGTGCCGGTGGCCGCGGGAGGCGTGCGGCGGGGGGACGGCGCGTCCTCTGAGCGCACGGCGGAGCATCTCTCTCCGCTGGGTGATGCTGGGGCGGCGCGGAGGGCCGTGCCGGGCTGCGGTGGTCTTTGGGCTGAGCGTGGCTGTCGCTCTGCCTCCCTCCCCGAGCGCAGCCCTCGCCGTGCGATGCCCAGCGCGAGTTTCCTGCACTTGCTTTGTGGCTGGGGGTGGTAGGAAGGAAAAATAAACTTGGGCACATACGTGCAGATGGTGACGAAGGATAGTTGCTAATTGCCATTGCAGGAACGTGTTAGTATGGTAATTGGATTAGAGCTTGTTAGAAAACTTGGGGAAAATTTGCCAAAATTTGATTACAGATGCAGACCTGGAATGCGATAGTCATTTGTATCCTCTTTTGTAATTAAAAATACTGGAAGAGCTCAGCCAAGCTGTATAATAACTTAATAACATAGTTTAACTAGATGCTGAAAGCATCTGCTTTTGTAAGTGGGTTGGTGGCGGGTTTTTCCGTTAATGGGAAGCAAACCCTGGAGTCCTCATTAGCTGGTTTGATCTCGAGGTTAACTGTTGGAACGATGCTCTGATTTCTGCACGCAGGGGCCCGGAGAGCCGCAGGACATCTTCTTAAAAGTAGCTGGAGGACCCAGCCCGCAGATCAAAAAGTTCTTTGTTGCTATTTATGTGTAAGTAGCGCGACCCCAAAAAAGCGAGAAACCCCCCGAGTGTGTGGCAGGGCAGGAGGGGAGCTTGTGCCGCCCTGTCCGCGCTTGCGGCTTCCCGAGCACGGCCGGCTTCGCCCAGCAGCGGAAAGCCGGGCAGGAGGCTTCCCAAAATGTGTGCAGCTCAGGGTTTCACATCATTCTCCTCTGAATAATCCCTGGCCAGAGCATCTCTGGTGTGCACGCTACTGCCTCCTGAGCCAGCCGGGCTGTCTCTGCGTCCGACGACGCTTTAGGAGCGGGTGGGACCGAAGTGGGTTCCTTAGAGGGGGCTGTCGGTGAGCCCCGTCCGTCTGTCTCTGCTGCAGGGACGCCTGGCTGGCGGCGCCCGTCCAGATCTGGCAGTTCTACCTGCACTCGCTGCCACCCGCGCCCCGCGCGGCCCGCCCCCCCGCCTCTCCCTGCTGCTGCGGGGCACCCCGGCCCCGCGGAGGGTGCGCGTCTTCACCTCCCACCCCCAGGAGCTGGAGGTAACCCCCCGCCGGTGGGCACGGGGCTGGCGAGGGCCGTCGTGGCGGCAACGGCGAGCAGGGGACTGGGCTGGACCAGCCCGGTGAAAGCCCCTCCAGAAAGGGAAAGTCAGCCCACTCGGAATTATGAACAATTTACCGCTGTAAAGTGTTTGCGATAATTATCTTTTGATTAGAGCTGTCATGTGTAGGATCATCGGCATGAAACCCCGGAGGGCAAATTATCTGCGTTAATGAGACCATCTGAAGACTAACAATTTCCTTAGGATTCGTTTGGCCGTAATTGCGAGTGTGAATAATAAAAGGCACAAAAACTCCATCACTGTCCCATAAACAAAAGCAGGAGCGTCCCCGGGTGAAGCCTGCGAGGGGAGGGAGTCCCCGGGCTGGGGAGGAGCTGGCGCTCCCTGAGCAGCTCTTGTCCTTCCCAACACGCCACCAGTCCCCATGGGTTCGTGTGGGTGGGATTCACTAGTGGTGGCAGAGGCGCGCAGGTTTTTAGGAGCAATCGGGTCTAGTTTATACTCCAAGCCGGACGTCGTGGAGGTGTGACAGCCACCGCAGGTGACTGCAGCTCCTGGTGTTGGTTTCCGCAGGTGGATCCGGACGGTGCCTTCCTTCTCCCCGCCAACGGCATCCAGGACCTGTACGTCGGCGTGCGGCCTCGGCGGGCTGGCAGCAGGTTCATCTACCTCAACCTGGTGGATGTGGAGTCCCACCAGCTGGTGTCCTCCTGGCTGCTCTGCCTGTCCTGCCGGCAGCCCCTCATCTCCAAGGTACGGTGGCTCTCGCGCCAGAAAATCACGGTGACGGTGCTGGACCGGTGGTCGTGCTCTGGCCAAGAACCCGGGGCTGTCTCCTGCTTCTTCCTTTCTTTACATCTGTGGGGGTTTTGACACTTGTCACCCTGAGCACACATTTGGCCCTCCGGTGCTCGAATAATCTCACTGAAGACCGTGGTAAAATGTCTTTCAGGCTGTTTTGAAGGCAGTCCCATGCTGAGGACTGTCAACGCTGAAGTATTCTGGGTTGTGAAATTAAAGCTACAGCATGCTGCTTTCTATTAGCACTGTGCTGGCGGAGGGCTTGCCTCAGAGATAGAAAATTAGATTTCCCGGCTAATGTGTTCCTTTTAAAAATGTTTTCCCGAAACCCTCGGTACCAAGGGAAGTTCAGATCGGCATTTAAACCGATACCCCAGTGTCCTGCCAAGTGCCAGCCCACCTCCCAGCGCCACAGGGCGTTATCTGAGCGAGCGCTGCGGCTCTCCCCGTGGACATCCGTTAATTAGCTGGAGAATGAGCTGGCCGGTCCCAGCTGCTCCCCTGGCCCTCGGTCGTTTGGGCTCGTAATTACTTCTGTGAACATGCCGGTGCCAGCAGCAGCGCCAGGAGAACGCTTTCACTCGAAGGTGGTTTCTGTGTACCTGCTGGCAGAGATCAATCAAATGTAGGGTGGAGGAGGAGGGGACGTGAGGCAGTGTGTCCCCCGCAGCGTCCCCTGTGCCGCATCCGTGCAGGAGGTGATTCTCTGTAGTACGTTTCGGGGAGAGCCCGTGGTTCCCTCTGACCCCCGACCCCCACGGTCTGTGCCACCTCTGCCACGGCTTGTTCTCGACCCGCAGGCGTTCGAGATCTCGCTCCCGGCGGGGGGCGGGAGAGACCGCAACCAACACATTC